TTGATTATTAGTGATCGAATTAATTAATGGACATTATATCTTAAACATGGGGAGGTAAATCGGATAATTATAATAAGGAGTCTCAAATGTAATTTGAGATAGGTGAAGGGAATGCAATAATATTATTGTGGTGGACTTTAATATTATTAATATATTAATTGTGGGGTTGCTCCACAGTATTAATATATTAGAAGCCCTTATCCTATCTCCTTAGGGTCCCTACTGTAGCTCTATATATACAACATTAGGCTCATGGAAGAGAACAGAACAATCCCACACCTTGGGAAACACGTCCAGCTCTCTTTCTCTCTCTTCCAAGGAGTTCTTCTATTTCTTGTGCTCCACTGATACAAGATCTAGAAAGCTGTTTGAGAATACAGTAGAAGATCTTAAAGTATATAGAGATTCCAATCATACATCCAAACCGGAGACCAAAAACAGCAAGTGACCATACCACGACGACCAGGACGACGAGACGAAGATATCTCCGTCGAGATCGCCGCCGCACGCGCCCACATGCGCCGCCGGGAGTTCGCTGCTGCTGGGAGTCACTCGCGCGCGTGAGAGCGCGTGGAAGGTTCGTTTTCCGATCGGTCAATGCCGTTGACCTCGTCGTGACGTCAACTTTCTGGATTGGTCAAGTTTGTTCGATTCCGAGAAGATTTGATTTGCGGTCATCTGTCCGGGCCAGCCAGATCTACATAAATTTTAAGCAGTAAGTTTTCTTCATCAAACCTTTAGATCCGCTGCGCATAGGTTTATGTTGAATGTTTGTCTGTGATTTGTGCATATCGAGATCCTCATGGGTTCCAACAAGCAAATCTGCCATTTAACTGCCATATCAGCAAAAAGATAAAAAGAAAAAAAAAATAAATGAAATTTACACGTAGCCACACTGACCTGCTATAGCTGGTTATAGGACAAAAAAGCTATTTTATTTATTATTTTACCCAGATGACCATTTTCAAAAGGAAACTTTTAGGGGGTGATTGGATATGAATTCAACTAGTATAGCTAGTTTTTTTAACTATAGTTAAGTTTGAAAAAAAGTAGTATGGTTAATTGTTAGTGAATATATTAATATAATATTTAAATTAAAATAATTAAAGTTGATTTGATGTAAAATAGAAGAAAATTATTGAAAGTGATGGTTAGTTAAAATTATGTGAGTGGATGAATAGTGAATTAAAGTTGATGTGATGTGTAATAATGATTGGTTTATATTATTTAATTATATTGATAATATTGAAGGTAGTGAAGTTGAGTTAAATTTCAGTTTTGAGTGGGATATTTACTGTAGAAACTATAGATAATCACGCCCTTACCGGGACCGAAATATATTCCAATGGAATTCCAACGGCAATTCGAATTGATGTTCCAATGCTTTTATTTCCATTGAAATTTTACAATTGATTCTAACGTAAATTTGAACAAAATATTACGCTAGAATGAGTTTTTCATTGGATTATTCGTTGAATTTTGACTATTCCAACAGTACATTTTCCAGCGGTTGAAATATGTGTGAAAATAAAAATTCCAACGGAAATTTCTACTATAAAAAATCGTTAGAATAACAGTCGTTAGAATGATCGATTTTCATCTAAATTTCAATAGAAAACTCATTCCAAACGAATAATTACGTTGGAATTTTTGTTGGAATCATCCGAAAGGAAATTATACCATTGGAATATCCGTTCAAATTTCTATTGGAATATATTAACCGTATAATTTTTCAATATGCAATTTTCTTTGTAGTGACACATTCTCATATTAGTGAGATTCTATATATCAATATTGGTCCTTAGATTGCAACATCGACCTTTTGACCTTTTATGCCATGCCCGTGGATAGGTCGTACCTATCAAATATAACTGTTCATTTTTGGGCTTGACAAATCTTCTTGCTTTTGACATCTACAATTAGTTTTTTTTTTGTATTATTTGTATTTGTATTATTTTTTTTTGGTACAGGGACCTTTCGGTTTCCGGATCTACAGGGGAACCGACTAATCCGTGTAAGAATATGTGGCCCGAAAGCATTGGGCTCACATTTAATTATCCTATTGGGCCAGACCTTATTTAATAGTCAAACAAATCTAAGCCATTAATCTGGATATTTGATGGACGTACCAGATCTAAAGACACCCCTATATAAATTGGTCCTCTCTCCTCCTATTAGGGTACGCAGTATTTTCCCATCAGTTTTTCTGCGACGTTAAGAGAAGGTCAGGAGGGAGAAACTGATTTAGTTCTAACAATCAATCAAGCTCTTGTGATCATCAAGATCAAGATCACTAATTATGTCGTCTTCCGCTTCAAGTAAGTATTTCGTATACACCAAATTATTTATTCAAGATCCTTAATGAAGTTTACAATCCGGAATCGAGCCGGGTAGGACCACAAGGGCGACAAAGCTCTCCCTCAAGAGTTTTAACACTGCTGCATTCCCAGGACTCGAGCACGAGACCACTGGTTAAGGTGGAAGAGACCCAAGTCATCTCATCCAAGCGCTATTGAGTGTATTTGTATTATTTAGTGTTTTATATTTCGCTCATACGTCATTGTAAGGAAAGTGGAACCTTTTTGTCCAAATATTACGATGGATGCACCCTCATAGCAAACATGATTGTTTAGAATTTAGAAATAAACATAAAGATAAACTATAAATTTAGGGACCGGAAAATAATTTGGTTTATTAATTATTAGGTGAAATAAATTCAATTGGACATTAACATATCATTGTTTTTATCCACCAATAAAATAAACATTCTTCATTTGAATTTTGGATCCAACAATTTTCTCTTACGTACGTACGTTCTCTAATTTGTTTCTCAATACAAATTTTAATTAATAAACAATAATTACTAACTCCAATATTTATTATTCATATATACATTCACATATTTATCAACATCAATCATTGTTTTTCTATTTTTCTACCACAACACAGTTAATTGTTCTATTTATCACATACAAAATTAATTAGTGAAAAATCAGCGAAATTTGTGAATCAAATCAACGACCATTAAATCATGAAATTTGGGCTCCATTAAATCAAATCAACCTTATAATTGCGTTATAAGGTTCTGCTCAGCATCATACTTCATTTTTTAAGATTGTTTGCCACTGATCATGTCCAGTCCATTGCTCGTGGGCTCCATAATTCGTGGACGAAATATATGCTTTAAGAAAATAGATAAGTGCAAATAAATATGCATGCAGCTAATTGTGACCGGTAAATAAGACCAAATTATTCTATCATTTTTTATTTATTGAGTTTTTAATTATATATATATATATATGTAATAGTGGTGCTAATCTACAGTACTCTTCGGGCTCGTTTACTTCACTAGATAGGATTAGATAAAATAATCCATTCAACTTTACACGTCACTATCCTGTCTAATGTTTACTTTATGTGATGCAATTTTCGAAACAAAAATAAATGAGCTGGTAAATTACCAAAATATCATTTATACCCTTCAAACATTCATCTTCTTCACCAATATTTTCCCTTTTTCTCATTTTTTTCCATTCTCCCTCACAGAGATATATCCCAAACCCCACCCTAAAAAATTGTTAAGTTCCACAACAGTCTATAATACCTACACGCTCTGAACATTTTTTTCATCATAACAGCAATCGATTACTCTCCAACAAGGGAAAAGCTCTAAAATTGAAAATTCGCCGACAATTGGTCGCCAGAAGGCTTATTTGAAAAAGCTCTTAAATAATTCTGTGAATTTTGAGATAGAGAGAGAAGAGAGAAGAGAGAAGAAAAATCGAAACCAGGAAGAATAAGAAGAAGAAAAAATGGATTCTTATTTATTTTTGGGTTTCAGTAAATACATGGACATAGATTTTAGTATTTTCGCATTCATTTTTTTGGGAGAAAATGGTAAATTTCCGGATGGGATAAAAAAATCCCAGGTGAGGAGGGGATTAATTAATTGGCAAGTAGCGGATACACCGGTGGGGCCCGCAGCCACATGTGTGTCAGCTCACGCAAATCCCATCCAAATCCTTAAAAGGAAACAACGCATAATGCTGGACAATTTTAATTATCCTGTCCTATCCTCCAAAGTAAACGAGCCCTTCGTATAAATGCACATCATAGACTCACTTTTCATCTCTCACTAGCTAGCTAAATACTACATTTGTATAAGTCTATAAGATGCATTATCATATCAAGTACATTCACAATTCCCAGCTGGCAATTAAACTTCCTCACAACAGGAAGAAAATAAGAAAACAATTACCAGTAAGTCTAACCACAAGGAGATGTAGCTCAATGGTTAAATTTCAGATGTATTTCTATGAAATACGGGGTTCGAATCCCCGCATCTCCAAAAATGATTTTTTTTTTTTTTAAATACCAGGAAACTTTATACTGGAATTAATAACCATAAATTCCTCATGATTAGCGAACCAATTACTCTTGGCAAAATTACTCTTTGTCCATCAGAAGTTCCAGAGGAAAGACTGCATATTACCACCATTCCCATCCTCGTCGCCATTGTCCCCATCATCAACGCTATCTGGAAAATGTGGTGGTGGCATGTACATATCACTTGGCTCGTGAAATTGAGTGAAATCCGAGACGTGTCCTTCATTCGTGTCCAGCACATCCAAGAACGACCAGTCGATCGAGTTCATTGGCCCGGCCTGGAACTGGTTGGCCTCCCCTCCAGTCCGGCCCATCTGCCTCTGATCATTATTCCCCGGGCCAGCATAGTTATTACCATAGTGCTGGGCCACAGCCTGTATCTCAGTCGGGCTCAAACCCTGGCGGCCCGGGATTTCCGGTGGGTCCTCAGGGAAGTTGAACTTGGCACCGGGCCCTCGGAGGCAGAAGAGGGCCGCGTCAAAGGCCCGGGCAGCCTTCTCGGCCGAGTCGTACGAGCCGAGCCATATGCGGTCGCGGCAGTTGGGGAGGCGTATTTCTGACACGTATTTCCCCCATTTCCTCAACCTCACGCCCTTGTACTTGGGCTCAACAACGTTGGACGAGGACGAGCAATCTGAGGCTGTCTTAACCATTTTTGAGGCAGGAAAAAATGGGCAATTTCAGTTTTAAAGCCGTGGTCCTGTGAATTGTCTTATAACTGAAATGAGGGTTGACTTGGGTTTTTTTGGCGGCTGAGAGTGTATATATGGTGCACATATATATACGTTTGGAGCACAGTCCAAATAATAATGTTGAAGTCATATGTAGCGTGTTGAATCGGAAGTTCAAATAAGCGTAGAATTAGCGTAGAGAATGAAGAGGGTTAAAACTTGAAAAAACAATAATAATAATTTGAAAAGGATCCCATTCGATGGGAACAAAAGAATGCGGTAGGGCCGGAGTTTATGTTTGAACGTGCGTAGATTCAAAGTTTCATAAGAAAAAAAAGTAGTAAAATGGTGTGAGGTGATTAGTTTAGTGATTTAAAAGTCAGTATGCCCTCAACGAACGTGATGAATATCGTGTATCTCGATACTTTGATTTTTTTCGAATTTGCACCAACAACCTTAATTTTCAACGATAAATGCTTCGAAGGGCACGCAATAGATCTTTCTTCTAGGCGATAGTTGTGACGAAAGATGCACAATAAGTCTTGTTTTGACACGGCTGTATGAAAAACATAAGTGAATTTTAACAAACGAAAGTTTGTACGAAAGAACGATTTTTTATTAACTTGAATGATAAAAAACTAGAACACAAGACAAAATATTTAACGACAATAATTATAAGCTTATACTATGGGAATAGAATTCTAAGCTTAAGGAAATAATATATCTAGAATCATAAGAATTACCAAATATCTAATTAGGTACAATCCCAAAACCTAAACACTTTTTAGGAATGAACTAATCAGTCCCGCTCACCTGCCCACGGTGGGCAGTGCCCACCACTTTTTTTTACATGAAAAACGTATTCTGAGAATACGTTTTTCAATTAAATTAATTGAAAAACGTATTCTCA